AATTCCCCCAGGTGCCTTAAAGAAAGGGGTCCTCTCCCCTCCCCCCCCAGAGATGCTGGGCCCCTTTCCTGGGTTGGGAGGTGGGGGCTGGAATTTCTTAAAGAGCTTCCCAATAGTCGACACACTCATTCTGGTTTTCACGGGGACTCCGCGGTGTTCGTAGCGAAAGTCCCACATCCCGAGAGATGCCTCGGTCCCAGGCAGGCCGGGCACCTGGGTGACACTGTCCTTAGGGCTGTGAAGGCTAAAGGGTGAAAGCCACAGACTTGACCCGCCCCCTGGTGGGGCCCCTCTGCTTCTGAGAATCCTCCCCTCCGCCCCCAGGGGTGGCTTCGCCCCAAGTAGGAGGTGCCTGCGCACAAGGCCTCTCAGAGCCGTAATTAAAGCCGAAATCTTTCCGGAAGCAGGCTGGTGGGCCGCAGTGCGGACCACAGGCCACAGGACACCTGCTCCCTGGGCCGCCCGCCCTCTATCCGGCATCCCCGAGTTTCTGGGCGGCTCGTTCTTATTCTGCACCTGTCTTCCTTCCTTCAGACCCTTCCTCATGGAACATCTTTAGAGCACGGCCCAGGGCAGTGACCAGCCACAGCCTCACAATCAAGCTGGGCCCCGCAGCGAGGTCGATTGTGGCCAAAGCCACAGTTTCCGGATCCCACTCTCCCAGCACTGACCCCAAACCCCCAAGAGCACTCTGGAGGGTCGTCACAAGGGCAGTGAAGGCTGGCACTTCTCGCGGAGGGGGTCGCTCTGCTGGGATGCCCTCTGCAGAAGCAGCGTCCTCACCTACCTCCCCTGTGTGCCTCCGTGGCACCGGAGCTCTGTGGGGCAGCCTTACTCCCTGGGCCATGGGGATCTTCCCGCCGTAAGGAGAGCATGGCTTCATTCAGGCTTGGACAGAAAGTGTGCATCCTGATCGACAGGACTGGGGTTCTGAGCAGCAGCATCTACAAGATCTGCAATGCTAAACACAAAAGGAAAACGTAAGGCAAGGATAAAAAATGCGTGTGTGTTTGCGTGTAGATGCCCGTGGGACGAGGAAGAACACGGCCACAGCGAAAACGAGGGAGGCCCTGAGAACTCTTCAGAAGGCTTTGGGGGCTGTCACGCGGTGGGTGGTGTCATTTTGTTGTTGGTTCTCCGGAGGGCTGGGTCCCGGGGAGGCCAGCTTCCCTGCCCTGTCCGGAGCGATTTTCTGGCCGAGCCGCCCCCACCGGAGGGTCCTCGGGTGTTTGCAAGGATGTCGTTGGGGTCCTCAAGCTCTCACCTGAGTCCCCCCGGCCGAGAAGGTACCTGCGTTTTCAAAAGGCCCCTCCTGGGGACACCACGCCCCCAGGAAACACCATTCTGGGTAACACAGCCTGTGTTGGATCCGAACCTCTGAACCTGACCTTCTTACAGCCTCACTGGGCTCCTCTCCAGCCCTTGACCCTGGAGGTAGCCCCGCCCAGCTCCCCTTAGAGCCGAAGGCGCCTCCCCCCACCCCCAGCGTGGTCCCCGCCAATTGGCAGGGAACAGAGCAGACCCCACGCCGCCCCTGCCCAGAGCCCCCAGTTCCCACAGGGACCTGACCCTGCAGCCGGGACCCCGGGGGGAGGTCCCACGGCGAGCCCCCACGCCCGCAGGACGCCTGCCACCTGCGTGTCCCCCCGCACTATCGTCCCCCCAGCCCGAGGCCGGGTGAGGCAGGGAGGCACGTTCCACCAGATAGATGGTCGTTGTCAAGGCTGCGTGTTGAGCAGGATTCCGGAAAGGGGGCTGTAAGCAATGTCACCCCTCGTGTCACCCCTGCCCTAGACCACTGTGGCGAGCCCCTCTCCCCGGGGCCGCTCACACCATCCCTTGGGACGAGATTGCCGCGTCCTAGGACAGCGCTGGGGGCACATACGTTTTGGCCCGCAGGGTAACGACAGTGGTGATTTTATGGTGGGGTCTGTCGTTCACAGGAGGAGGGACCTCAGAGGCTGAGATGAGAAGGTGCCGGTGAGGTCCGTTCACCCTCTTCCTGCAGCTGGAGAGGGCAGGCGGGGGCCCAGCTCGGGCGCCGCTCACGTCCTTGGAGACACGTTCCAGGGACAGGAAGCACATCGGCATCCCGTGGGTGTGTGTGCCCGTGTATGAGTGAGCAGGCGTGTGTGTCGGCACGTGCGCATGCACACACAAGCGTGAGAGCGTGCAAGCAGGGGGCACGTCTGCACCCGCTCACGTTAGAGTGTGAGTGTGCAAGCACCTGGGAGTGTGTGCGTGCGCACAGGCAACAGGGTGAGCGTGCAAGCACCTGCACCGTACGCGCACACGCGAGTGCGAGCGAGTGTGCACGGGTGTGCACGCGCGTGAGCGCACGTGAGTGTGAACGTGCCTGTCCACACACATGGATGCGTGCGTGCGTGTGTGTGTGTGTGTGTGTGAACGAGTGTCACAGTGCACCAGCAACCCCCCTGAGATCCCTAGTTCTTGGGCACCGTGTTGGGCAAGATGCTGGGGTTTCCTCGCAGGGGACCCGCCTGGGGACAAGGGGCCTGGGGGCGGGGGCTCTTTGCCGGGTGGACACGTGACCAGACCCTTCTTGAAGTCGTGGGCGTGACGTCCTGGAGAGACTCCCCTCTCCCCGCCACGTTACGGTGCGTGGTTATTTTCTCCTCAGAGCGTTTACATGGAAAAGAAGAACGTGGAAAAACCCTGCGGCCGTCATGCAGAAAAACATGCATAAATAGTAGCTGGAAGGAAATACCTTACTGTGGATGAAGTGAAAAGGACGCCCATGGTTTTCTTTTTGTGCTTGTAAGAAAAGGAGGGTGAGGGAGGACCCAGCTCGAAACAGATGGTCACTTTTGAGAGTTTCTTAGGATCACGTGAGTTTTGATACAAAGGGAAAGCACGTTGTGACAAGGTTCCGTGGACAATTCCAAATCAGCACGAAGTGCTCAGCCGGAGAGATGTCTTGACCTCGCTCGGCTCTCTTGGGGCCTCCGGCTGGGCGTTCTCCCGGTTGGAACCCTGGCCAGACAGGGAGTGATGTGCGAAGAACTCGGGCTTCAGGATCGAATCTTCCGGTCACTGGCTGTGTGGCCTCTCTGACCCTCAGTTTCCGTATCTGTGCAATGGGAGCAAGGGATCCACTCCATAGAGTAGTAGTTCTGAACGTGCGAGAAAATAGCACACAGGACCACTTTCCAGTTTTAGAGTGTGAAGGTGTGACTGCACCTTCCTATTTTATAGACGCTCTCGTCCGTGACAGCGGTCACGGCTCTCAGAAATAGAAGACTATCGCAATACAGATTCATCTCACATGTTTAAACGTTCAGGCTTTTTCATTTATCGCTGGTGCTGATTAAATTCCGTCTTTTCTCGGGGCGCCTGGGTGGCGCAGTCGGTTGGCGTCCGACTTCAGCCAGGTCACGATCTCGCGGTCCGTGAGTTCGAGCCCTGCGTCGGGCTCTGGGCTGATGGCTCAGAGCCTGGAGCCTGTTTCCGATTCTGTGTCTCCCTCTCTCTCTGCCCCTCCCCCGTTCATGCTCTGTCTCTCTCTGTCCCAAAAATAAATAAACGTTGAAAAAAAAAATTAAAAAAAAAATAATAAAAAAAAATAATAAATTCCGTCTTTTCTCGACTATTGCGTTATAGCTCCAAGATGTATTCTTTTCGTATTGAAACTTTTTTTTTTTTTTTTTAATCCCAGCGGTTTCTGAGTCAATCCTGACTCCCGGCTTTCTGCAGAGGGCACTGCCTTCCAAGACGCTCGCGCTGAGCCCCTCCGCTGCCTGATCGTTTCCACCTCCTCTTTGTTGTTGTTGTCCTGGAATCTGTCCTGTAACCACTAACCGCGCAAACGCGGCCGTCCGTCATCCTAGCGGTTAACCTACTGAGGATAGAAGGTATAGCAACGGTGCTGTGGGAGTTAGGCTGGAAGGTGCCTTTCTGGAAGGCCTGTGTTGTAGTGAGAGAGCCAGGGGAATAACACCTCTGAACCCTCCGGCCAAGACGGATCTTGGTTACCTTCCCTGAGAGTCTTCCCAGCGGGACTAGTGAGGTCTTGACCTGGCGCTAACGGGCTCCAGCTTCGCCGCCAACCAAGCAGCGAAAGACAGCCTGACGGACGACGAGGACGGCGTCACCCACGAGAAAGTACCTCGTGTGAAACTTACATGCCAAACGCACACACCGGGCGTGGCGGCCCCCGAGATAAAACGTACGTGGGCTGAAGCCCCATCACCCGCTCCGTTTTTCACTCCTCTGGCTCCCCTGTTCACGGGAGCGAACAGAATTGTGTCCTCGTGGAGATGGCCTTGTGGGGACCGTTCTGACTTTACGCCGTGAGCTGCCGTACCGCCACCTTCGTGGCGAGCCCGCCGGGGTCCGTGTTGGTGCGTCTGGGTGCTCGGTGATGAGTCACGTTCCCGCTCTCCCGTGGTGGCCCACTTTGACGCTTTTCCCTTTTAGATGCTGCCCGGGAACGGCCGTCTCTGAGACTGCCGCTTTGCGGCCCTCAGATCACCCCTCAGGAAGAGGTCTCTGGGTTCCGGCCTATGAACATTTTTATGGCTTTGATCCGTATTGTCCAGCGGTGTGAAGGACGCTTTGCTGAATCTGATGTACCACTTTGATTTGGCGCTGTTTTGTCCTGCCAGTTTGCGACGATAAGGTAAGAGAATCCCTTGTGCTTGATGGAGGGAGTCAGATCTGGGTCTGAAATGTGTTTTCTGCGTAACAACGAGATGGGCCCTAGCGATGCCGCCTGGTGGTTGGGTACTCACCTTTCCCGAAAGATGCAATCTGTCTGCTGCGAGAATGGGCTGTGCCACGCGGGCCCCCCGAGGGACACGGCCGCGCTGGTGGCGGGTGTTAACAAGCAGGCATAAGGGACCGTTCCCCTGGAGCACGCTCTCTGAAGCCATCGCCACCGCCAGCAGGAACAGAAGGGCCCTTTCTCCAGGCCCCGGTGGCCCAGACCCCTTTGTGTAGCCGCCCAGGAGAGGCCTAGAGCCGCTCTGCCTCCGACGACCATGCTCGGGACCGTCGGGCTGGGCCTGCTGGCTCTGGTCAGCACGGTGAGCCCGAGCCAGGCCAGCGGCTTTACAGGTAAGGGCTCTGGGCTCAGCATGGGGGATGCTGGAGGAGCAGGGGCCAGGTTGGCGGCTCCCGGGGAGTGGGTCTCGTGAGGGCGGCGGCCCCACAAAGACGCATCTGCTTCGAGAGGTGGTGTCGTTTCCATTTTGCCAAACTTTCTGGTGGCCACAAAAGAGGCAGTGTGCGTGCCCCCGAGTCAGCTGGGCGCCGGTGGTGTTTAAATGCAGATTCCGAGTCGGCGGGTCCGGGGTGGGGCCCCGGAACTGTGCATTTCTGCTGCGGGTCCGCAGGCCGCACTGACGGGTGCATCCTTAGAGGCTCGGAATCGAAGTCTCCCGAGCCTCGGAGGGTCGGAGTCCCCTACTCGCGGGTAAGGAGAGGGAGACCCAGAGCGGTCAGGGACTCGCCCAAGGCCACCCAGCCGGCAGTGAGCTGAATTGCCACGGGCCCTGGCTCGAACCTTCTTCCCCTGCCAGGCAGGCTCGGGCTTGTGAAGTGGGCTCTCACCGCCAGGTCCCCCAACTTGGGCTCCGCCAGCCCCAGTTTCCTCCTCGGTCCACGAGGGTGCAAAGGGGCCGACGGGACAGCGAGGAGCCCAGCGAGGGCACCTGCCCCAAGCGTTTGCCGGGCACACGTTCCTGCTTGAGGCGGGTCAGGTTTTTGAAGCCCGGGATTTTGGAGCCGTGAGATCGCAAACCTTTGAAATCATTTGCTTTTGAAATCTGTCTTACTCAGCTGGGAATTCACACAGGCTCCACAGTCAACTGCGGCTCAGCACTGGTTTAAAGTTGGTTCCGCCACGAGCAGAATTTTGGGTGGTGATTTCTTTCCCTTGACTTTCCCTGTGGACTGGGTAACGTGTGAAGGCTGTTGCTCAGTCGCGCTAAGAGCGGGAGGCTGGAGAAGCTGGAAATGTCCGGAGGGACTTCACGAGCCCCTCCCTCACGGTGCCTGTGGGGACCCGGAGCGGGGGGCAGAGGCTCAGTGTCACATCAGGGCTGCTCAGCCACCTGCTGTCATGTGCCACATGCTGCTGTTACAGGCGAAGTTCCATTTACTTACTTCCGGGGGGCGCGGACAGTATTTGACCATGGGATGGGGTCACTGGGAGGGCGTGAAACGAGCTCAGAATCACACAACTGGTGTTCGGGGAAGCGGGTGCGAATTCGGATCTTCTGACCCCAGGGTGACACTCACTCCAGCATGATAAGGTTTCCCACCTCTGAGACTAAAACCCGGGACCCCCGACTCCCATGCTGGTGGCTCCTGGAAGGATTTACAGAACGGGGAGGAATTGTTCTAAGGTTTCTCCTCTGGACTCTGCCAAGGAACCAGGATTCAGAGGACCTGGTGTCCCCTGGGAACAGGCAAAAAACAAAACAAAACAAACAGATCCCAAATGCACTTTCGGGGGAGACGTGCGTGTGTGTGTGTGTGCACCTTTGCGTGCAGGAAGGCTCTGCTGATGCTCAGCTGGGACCTTGTCACGACTGGATGGAGACAGCGGCTCTCTAGAGGCTGGGGAAATGTAACCTTCATTAGTGGTTGGCATCTCCTCTTTGGTTTCAGATGCAAAACAAAACCTGGAGCCACCTTGCCAAATTCTTGGTGTAGGAAGCCTCGGGCTCTGTCTTGCTGGGCACCATCACTCGGTGAGTGGCCTCACCAGTCCCTCATCCAAGTGACATCCAAGCTCTGGGCCGTCACCTGGCCTGGGAAGCTGGTTTCTGCTGCCCAACCCCAGTTACGAGGGCCTCCCCATTCCTCTCCAAAGCGCGCCGTAACCGATCCCTTTGGGGACAAGCGGCAGCAGGTGATGTCCTTTCCCAGAGGCCCTGCCACCCACAGTGCCGACTGGGAGACAGCCCCTCGGCTCACGTGGCTTCGGAGCGGGCTCGCCCTGGGTGCTGGGATTCAGCACCGCGTTCTGCCCAGAGTAAGGCTGCAGGCTCCCTCATCAGCCTGAGCCGGACGGCTGGCTCGGCCCCATTTCTCCCCGGGGGTCACCAGCCCTCGAAGTCTTGCTTTCTGCACGCTCGTGGGATGCTGTGAGGCCACGGAGGGAGTATTTTGGGTGCTGTCCTAGTGTTGATGCTGCAGGTTATTTCTGCTGCCATCTCGCAGCTGCTCCCAGAAGCCCAGCTTCTCACGGAGGGGTAGACGCTATAATATTGAGCGCCTCCCCTGCGGCTGCACAGTTGCACAAAGCTTAGAGCTCAGAGGTTAAGTAAGTATCTGATTCCTTCCTCCTACTCGGAGGGCTCCTGAGGGCAGAGCCCCAGGCTCGCTGCTAAGCGTTAGCTCCCTGGGGTTGTCCCGACACAGCACCTCAGTGGAGGCTCAAACAGTAGCGATTTAGTCCCTCCCTGCTCTGGAGGCCAGGCGTCCGAGATCAAGGCGTGCGCAGGGCTGGGTTCTCCGGAGGAATCTGCTCCATTCTCTTCCCCGCTTCTGGGGGTTTTCTGGAGACCCTGGCACCCTTGCTCGGTCGAGGTAGCACTCCGATCTCTGCCTGCGTCCTCACGTGGCGCCCTCCCGTTTGCGTGTCTGTCTCTGTGTCCAAATTCCCCCTTTTGTGAGGACACCAGTCATCATGGATTGGGGCCACCCTACTGCAGCATAATCTCCTCTTAACTAAATATATCTGCCAAAACCTATTTCCAGAACTTCAACACATGAATTTTGGAAGGGTGGGTGGGGACACAATTCAGCCCGTAACAATTCCTGCTACCACAGAGGCTCTGTGGGCACACGGGCGCCCCACGACCCAGGCTGGTGAAGGTAGGGGGTGCCTCGGGGTCTTGAGGACCCCACGATCGATCGTGCAGACGGAGGGACAGGGGCCACGGGCGTCTGTGCGCAGCAAGGGGGCTCCAGGCCGGAGACACAGAGAGCGAGCCGGCAGGTGGATGTCGTCCTCCAGGGGGCGCGGTGCTCTCATCTGCCATCTGCGCTAACTTGCCACTTGTGAACTTCTCAAGTGTGCTCGAAGCATCGTTTATGTACCCTTCCACCCCATCCCAACTGTCGCTGCCATCTGGGCCTGGCGAGGGGCAGCCCTTCATGCATATTTACCGGGGGGAGCGGGTGTGCGTGCGTTTCACGTGCGGCATACCCGGGGCTCGTGGAGATTCAGGGGCGATTCAGGACGCTCCAGCCCGCTGAACCAGGGGGCGTGGCACATGAGCCCCAGAAGCCGGAGCCCCCCACTCCATGTCTTCGGCGTGTGGTCAGCCTCTGGGCTGCAGAAAGCATGGATCGGACCCGGTGGCATCTCCGGGCTCTGCAGAGGGGACTGCTGGGCGTGTAGGTCCCCCTTACGCCTCGTTCCCCCTGCTTCACGCGATTGCCTGGTGGGCAGGCCCGGGGGCTCTGCCGGTGCCTGAGGTCCTGATTCCCTCGCTCTTGCAGAAGTGGAGGACTTATCCAGAACCCCTCCTAGCGAGTTGATTCCCGAATTTTCTCTGTTGTCTCCCTCCATCCCTGCCCTCCTCCCCTCCCCCCTGCAGAAAACGGCCTTTCCTTGCTGAGTTTCCAGCTGTGCAACTACAGCGTGACCCGAAACGTCCAGAAAGTGGAGGCCATCCACACGTCGCACGTGACCTACGCTCCCTGTGGCGGGTGGATCCCGTGGAGGAGGTGCCCCAAGACGGTGTACAGAACTCGGTACCTGGCCGTGGACGTCCCCCAGCCCAGGAACGTGACCGACTGCTGTCGGGGTTATGAGCAGCTGGGCCTCTACTGCGTCCCGCGTGAGTCCGGGACGCCGGCGGGTGGGGGGAGGGGAGAGGGGCGGCTCCCTTGTCCTCTCCCCGGGACTCCTGATGACACTCAGGACGGTCGCTGTGCACACCGTTAGCCCTGAACCTACTAGGTCCTTCTGGAACAATGGTCCCCAAGCTGGGGCGTGCATCAGGATTGTCTGGATGGCTCGTCCACCCCCAGATCTTGGAACCCATGGGTCGGGGTGAAGTACAAGTTCCCAGGTGGTACCGATGCTCCCTGGGGACCCCGCTTTGAGAACTTCTGTTTGGGCGCAGTGGCTCTCAGGCCTGCTGCACGTCAAAGGCCCCTGGGCAGCTTTAGAAACGCTGATGGCTGGGTCCAGTCCTCAGAGATAGTTATAGAGTTGGTCTGGGACATCGCTGGGGCATTGGAATTTTTTTTTTTTAAAGCTCTCGATCAATTTGAACACGTAGCTGAGTTTGAGAACCAGCACTGCAAATCTCCTCTATATTGATGGCCAGTCTTTTCCTTTTAACTTTTTTCAATGTTTATTTATTTTTAAGAGGGAAAGAGAGAGACAGAGTGTGAGTGGGTGAGGGGCAGAGAGAGAGGGAGACATAGAATCGGAGGCAGGCTCCAGGCTTGGAACCATCAGCACGGAGCCTGATGTGGGGCTCGAACCCATGAACCGTGAGATCATGACCTGAGCCAAAGTCGGACGCTTAACCGGCTGAGCCCCCCCTGGCGTCCCCCGCTTTTTAAAAATTTTTTAATCTTTATTTTTGAGAGAGAGAGAGCAATCTTTTCTTTTTAAAAGTTGCAGTGGAATGCTTTCTTTAACTGAAATCCTAATCCGAGCCTCCATGTGTGAAAGAGACAGAAAGGTCCCCTCGGCCCCTCTCACCCCCCCGGGGCCCCCAAGTCCTCCTCCTTCCTCAGGGCTGTTGGGAAGATGCTTGGGGCAGTTACCAGGGTGCGCTGTGTGGCTGTGTCCCGCCACTGTCTGAGCCCTCCTGACACGGAGGGAACGTTCCAGAAGACCTCTTCCAGGGGAAAGGATGCAGGCGTGTGTGCATGGGTGGGTGGCGGTGGCTGTTACATTTGAGTCAATACCAGATCTAAATGAGTTTCTGAGACTCATAAGGTCTCCCCGGCCCCACCCAGTCGGGGAGGGGAGGTAGGAAGGATGTGGCTCCAGTGAGTTTCGAGGGGCCACCCCAAGGCATGAGGTCTGCCGCCTCCAGCGGGCACCCAGCGGCAGTCTGGGGGTCTGGGAGGGGCACCCCACGTGACCCACCCCCAGGGCCCATGGCCAGGGTGGCAGCGGGCTGGGGCCTGGACGCTGCACGCAGGGGCACCGGCCCCCTCCCCACCCAGGGGCTGTAGGACATAGTTGGGGCAGCCCTTCCAGAAGGCTGCGTGGGCTTGGCTCCCTGAGTCATCCCGAGCACGCCGTTCTCAGGTCGCCCGAAGCAACCTCACGGGCATGGCTGATGCTTGCCCACCATCACCACACTGCCACCACCAATAAAAACCAGGTGGGGATGTATGACCCCAGGGCCCCCAGCCTGGTGCCACCTGGCTGTTCCCACTGGCGCCCTAAAAGTCCCCTGGTGTCCTTCCCAGGTGCTGGATCTGGGGAGTCCCTTCCCGTGCAGACACTGGCCCATTTTCCGCTTTCACTGTCTTCCGGGGCCACGTGCACGAAGGGAGCCCCGCGGGGAGCACCTCTCTTCCTGGGGGTGGTGGGGGACCCAGTGTGGGTACCTTGGCACGGAGGCTCAGGACCCGGCTAGGTAGCGGGTGGGCTCAGCCCTGCTCTGACCATTTTCGCCTGGGAAGGGCCACTCTTCCCACCTGCTCGCTGTTGTAAGATCACTCGACTAGTGAGGTCACCTGTCCGGGGGCCGGAGGAGCCCCGCCCCCCAGCCCCCGTCCTGCTGACTGGTGTTTTCTGTGCGGCTGCTCGCAGAGGGAGGGCTGGTGTCCCCTCCCCGCCCCCTGCTGTCCATCCGTCTTGCCTTCGCCAAGCCAGCCCCCAGGAAATGCCTCTCGTGGGGCATCAACCCCACTTTTGGAGTCTCGGCGCCTTTAACTGGGAACTCACCAGGTGTGGAGAGGGCCAGAACATTCCAGTTAGAGAGTCCCACGGGCAGGGCTCTCTGGGAAGCTGCAGGTAATGGCGCGGCTGTGGCGGGGGACACACAGGGAGCGGGACGAGGAGGATTCCCTGCCGGGTTGACCAGCAAACCCTGGGGCGGCGGGTGACAGATTACTCCAGACCCCTGAAGCAGAGAAAGGAGAGGGCGAGGGGGCCAAGCGCTCTAGGGGTGACGCCCCGAGCAAAGCTCTTCTCCGGTTTTTGCCGAGAATCTTACCAGTACGTTTCAAGGGGTGCAGGGGAAAGGGACGCGCAGTTTCAAAAGCAGGGACAAAGCATACTCCTAAGTGATCCAGGGCAACAGTGCGATCAGGGTAGTGATGTGCAGGCAGTGAGGGGAACGTGACGGGGGCGGTGTATACGTCATAGGAAGGGGGCTGTTTTACTGCTTTCGATTAAGCATTTACGGGGTGAGAAAACATGTTGACCCACAGGCTGCTTCCAGCCTTGACCTT